TTGATAATCAACTTTTATAATTTTACTGAGCACCATATTTATACTAGCAATATTCTAAGCATACGCAGCCAACCTAAAATCAATATATTTTTTATAAGAAATGATAAAAAATATTTTTTAAAGAGAAAAATTATTTTAAACGAAAATATTATAACTTTGTAACTAATGAGATGTAAATTGCTGCTAATGTTTGAAAAGTTTTGAAATTTCATGTTGTATTATTGACAAATGGAGTTGTAGATAAGAGTTCTCCGTATTGAGACTGTTGCGGTATTTGGTTTTAATTGCAGTGTAGGTAAGCTGAAAATTGTGACTGTCATTTTTTTAGTATTCATTTTGAAATTTAAATAAAAAATAAAAAATAGTTTAAATAAATTGTAAATAATTTCTTATGAGAGCCCATGGAAAGTGCTCGTGGTGCCATTAGGGCACTGCGGTACACAGTTTGGGAATCTAAGATAACAAAATACTAAATGGAAAAATAAGTAAATGGAATGAAATTGAGGAACTGCCAGTCGATTTGTCCTTCTTTAAAATACTAACATAGCATCTGTGACGTCGAAACAAGTATTTTACAGTAGGTACAAAAGTATGAGACGAGATAATCGTAGAAGTTTAAAATCTTAATTCAATGTTTCATTTTTGCAAAACATCATGTTGGTACACATTTCATAACTATGTATAATTCAAATTAATAAATTATTACATTCAACAATATTATTATGTTTTTATTTCTCCTTTAAAATGTATTATTTAAACATGTTGATACAACATTATGATAGTAATAAAAACAGTATAATTATGTTAAATGAGCGTTAATGAAATAATTCATAGCAAGTGATAATATTTGAATATCTTTACACGCTTAACATACGTGTGTAAAGTGTAAATGCATATGTTACGTATTTATTTATCGTATAAAACCTAGCCCTAATGATATTATATATTATAAACCTAATACTAAAATTACTCAAAATGTAAATGTATGTGTATATTATTTTATTTTAAGCCACCAATATAATATTAAATAACCGCCTTAAGTAAAAATAATATAAAATTCGTAGTTGTTCCATATTCGTACAGCGTTTAGGCGGCACTACTGTAGTTTCGACTATAGAACGCAGTGACGGGACAAAAAAATAATAATAATAATTTAATAACAATAACGCGACGAAAATATTATGCGCAATCAATCGTCGCGTTTGCGAAACGCAACTGTGGCTGGCGGCAGCGGCGACCCTATATTAAGAAAAAGTCGGCCATTTTGAATTTTCTTTTTCTCGCCCCTTCACAACACAATTCATCGACGTCTTTTGTGAAATTCTCCTTTGATTTTTATTATTTTTTTCCCCTGCACCTCGAACCACCTCACCATCGTCGTCGTAGTTGCTGCTGTCGTCGTCGTCGTCGTCGTCGTCAACGAAAAAACTTTTAATTGGGGAGAAAAACGGGAAAATTGGAAAAATTATAATGACAAAGGGACACGGGCAGAGAGACAGAGGGGAAAAGTGAGCAAAAAGGAGACGGAGGGAACTGGTCTCTGTCTCTACATAGAGTGACGGCCAACCTTCCCCTCACCTATTACTGGTCTTCGGCGTGGGCGCGTAGAGGCAGCGTGACTGTGTAAAGACGACAAATTGTATTTCTTTTGAAAAATGGCAATAACGATTTATACGCTCGCTCGAACAAAAAGCCAACTTTTAACGATACGGCGGCGTGCGTGTGAATGGCAAAAATGTTACCACCGCACGTGAAACTGTGCACTAGAAGAAATAATAAACGTCGCCACGAAACAATGCGGAAAAATAAAAGGGTACGAAAAACGTAGTAATAATTCTCCGCCGCCACGCCGTGGCCGATTCAAAATAACGGCAAAAGACAATCCCATTCTTTCGCTAATTATTTACTGCTCTACCACCAACGTTTAATTAATGTTCAATCTTTTTGCGTTCATCCTCCGCCCCCACACGAACATCCTATAACCTGAACCACCGCTCGACTCACTAGGCCCAATCACCTAACCTCTCGACAAATTACATATACTTTTGCCATCGCAATATAATTTATCGCTTATGGGTTTGAGACCATTCTTTATACTCACGGAATACTATACCCATGTACAAATGTTGGAAAGTTTATTTTCGTTTGATATTTTACGTATTTGTCTTATATATCATAAAGTCAAATAAAATTGAGTTCACGTGTGCGTTGAAATTATTATGTTACGTAAGAAAGTAATTGTATCACTCTGTCGCTAAAACGTCGCCCCGAAATCGGAAATATGTGCCAAACCATATAAACCAGTAACCACTCTTAAGGTATAAATGAAAAATTAGGTCAAATGATAGGTCAGATTTTTTTTTATAGACACTTTAAGTTTTTTGATACACAAACTGCATAATATTTGAAAGAAGCCGCATTGTTATGTTAACCCATGAAAAATTCGAATATGTGTTGATAATAATTATTTTATATTATATTTTAACAAGACGTATTAACACTTAACATACAACTTACTGTATTAAAATCATTCCACTGCTGTTGTTGAACAATTGACTTTGAAAATAATTTCGATGCGAGTGATAAATCCCTCCAATCAATTATAATACAAATACTGTTTGCTTTAGCGCATGATTAAAAACGTTAGTTTCAGTTAATTACATTTATCCGACAAACTTCACGATATAATTCTTTTGAAAAAATGTAGCAATAATATTATTTTCAACTGGTGCTGTTCGTACCCAACTCCTATTTTTACTTTTAATTAATTTAAATGTAAAAATAAATTTAACAAGTATTTTGTATAGGAACTATTATTAAAACTTGTTACGCGGAACTTTTTGTTTCTCTATATTCGAGCTATGCACACGTTTTTATTTTTTAATTTTGTTATTTAAAACGTCATTTTATATTTTAAATTTTAATAAATCAAGTTAAACTAACTATACGACAATTTGTTTTTACGATAATTATTAATTTTAAACTATATAGACAACGGATCGGTTAAGAGTTTATGTATAAGTATAGAGTGAGAAAATAAACCATTACTAACCACCGTGCAACTAGGTTTTATAATTAAGACGATTTAATATCATACGGTATTATTATAATAAAAATAATTTTGTCGAGCCATAGGTGAAAAATTAATTCGCTAAATCCATAGACGTGTGGTACATATTATTATTATTATAAAAAAAAATCTTTACATAAAATTACCAGCTTGACCTTATTAATAACATTAATAATCAAATAATCAAAATATTATTGTTCAATAACAATGCCTACAGGCTATATTGTTCCAAGACATTTGGTGCCTAAAACGAATACCGAAAATTAATATAATATGCATTCGTAAGTGTATATATATTTTCTTACGAAATACATTCAATAACGAATACGACAAACGTCAGTTTCTATATTAGTATTGGTTCCAATATTATATTTTATTTTCACAATTATTTCCCGTTCTATTAACAATGTACTACCTATATAATTTATATAAGAACAGTTATAATTTGTTTGTAAAATATGTATATGATTACAAATGTAAGTTGTTAAAAATTAAGTTATCGAGTTTATATTGTTTTTAATACCACTGGTGGAAAGTTTACCAAACCTAAAGGTCACTTTCGTGGCAGCCGATTATTTGGTTCGGGAGCTTTTGCGACATTTCATGTAAGTGGTATTCGTCAACAACACGCTGCAGTGCACCCAGCATAATAACATTTATTCCTTGTCCAGTTTTATAAAATATTTATTTGCTACCATTTACGAACATTTTTATATTATCGAACCTTGACCTTTCCGCATAAGAGTCGTCGACAATATTTTAATGAACACGAATATATATATATATATAGACACCTACTGTTATTTTTTCCACTAAACTTTGCCAAGACTATTGCACTGCGGTGCTCGTTGCCTACCCCGTTAAACGAATTTCGACAAGAAAACGAAGTTAGATTGTGTTTTTATTAGGGTGTTGGATAGTGGCACGGTAATTGGGTGGCGTCTTCTAAGAAAACATTTTCGATTGAAACGAGTGCGTAATCCAATCACAGTCGTGATAACATATAATAATAAATGCACCCCCTCGTACCCGTTGCCACGTCTATATAAGTATGCCTAAGAAAACCAAATTAAAAGAGCCGAACGAAATTATTCAGAATTTTAATACACAACGCGCCATTCAATTATACGAGTTTGTTTCACATCAATTTCTGAAATTTTATCGCACTAATTCAATTGCAAGTATGACTGAAAACTTGCCTTGTATAAGGCCGGTCCCCGGCTGCGCAGCGCATAATCTCTGATAATCATTGAAAACGGTAATAAATTTAAATCGAGATTTCCTGTAGATCGCATAACGTTAAGTCCCGTTGTAGAAAATGTCTTAAATTTATATGCTACATATAACATGCACTTTAATAGGCCATATATAGTATTATCAGCTTAGTAACGTACACGTACGAACTATAATACATCGTTCGTCGAAAAATTAAAGCACCCTGCCACTACCTGTTTGCAGGGTACCGCGAGGAGTAGTTATCGCTGTCCAGCCGACTTTTTCAAGATCAAACTCGTACCTCATATTAAATTAGGGTTTGTTTCTTTTTTCTGAATACATGAGGTACGATAACTTTTGTTATACGGGAGAAGAGGGTATAGTATTATAGTCGTGGCATTAATAGAAAGACCGTTGCTACTGAATCCGACTCGCGTCTTAATTTCACACGGCCCGCGGCAGCGGAGATTTAGAAACACGCAACAACAGTCTCTTATTTAATAATATTATAGACAAAGCAGTGACGAAGAATGCCTGTGTATACACAAAAAGAACCCCCCCGAGAACGACGTGGCCGTTGTTGGCAAACAGAGTCCGCAACTGACCTCTGGGCGTCCAGGTGCAACGCCACTTGCAGGGGGCCTCATTGTTCGGTCCTCGTCGTCAGTGTACCTACCTACATTAATTATTAAAAGTGCGCACGCCGCGTAAAACAATGGACAACCGGATTTTAGGACCGCGCCGGGCGATATTTACCCAACAAAGGGGTTATCTTGTCCGTCAGTCGTCGCTGGGACAGAGCCGTCGTCGCATCGTATCGGGTGAGTACTTGTTGTAACTATACGAAAGTGAAAAAATATTAAAAAATTTGAAGTCTTGCTTAAAAATAAAAACTAGGAAACTTACAACTGTGGGCATCAGTGAATAATATAATAAATCGTAAGTATTTGTATTGCGTATATAATATGTTTACCTGCTACATTATAAACCTTTGGAATCGAACGAGTTTGGATTTGTGTTCATACGCAATATAATAATACAATTTATAGACAACCGACACGTTCACAGCGTGTACATTAGACCACCACGAGAGACGCGTTGAACTTTCTGTTCGGGTATTTTTTTTTTTTCAATCGGTCCCTGTTAATGCCTTGCTCCACTAACCATTAATCACTATGGCAACTGAATTCGGTTGGCAATAATTGTATTCATTTTTTCCACTCCCGTAGGTCCGTTTTTAATTATTTTAATTTGTAACGAGAACGAAAAATCATCCTGCCGCTATCCGTGAGCGCCGACCCTCGTCTTCACCCGCGCCCCGTCCGACAGGGTGTAACATCTTCGAGAGTTTCTACGTATATCCTCCCCGCACCGCCAATTTCCATGACGCCACCCGCCCCTATTCCCTCTCACAAACCCGATGCCATCTCTGTTTTTCCCGATAAATTTGTCCGTCAAGTGGGTATAAAATAATTGATCGTATTCCGGCTATCCGTATACAATGTACATATAATATATAATAATGTTATACGTTATATAGCCTGCAAGCAATAATGACTATACTACCCGACGGCTTTACTCGGCGTGGTATTTTACCTATAATAATATACAGAGTGATTATTTTGTCCGGCTAACTGTATGTCTGTATTAGAGCGAACGGGGAGTTTTACGTTACAACAATACGAACATTGCTGATAACAGTGGGAAAAAATAGTAAAATATTATATATGTTTTTTAAAAGTAATAATTTGTCGGCAACACGACCTAAGATCGTATTGCCGCAATCACCCTGTATAATATTTATAGATGGATGCGTGTATAGATATTATAGCGAGTAGAGAAGGCGGTCAATTAAAAAATAATAAACCCCCCAACCCCTCCACCGGGTCGGGCGGGGTATCAATAATAAATATACTCTCCGCACGTTCCCAGGGTGGTTGGTATAGGTATTACAAGCACCACCGAAGAACTCGCCGGAAACGCAATCACCGCGGGAAACTACATAATGTATAACACTCCAATAACACGATGTTATCCGAAGCACTCGGTATAATAATTTCATTTAATGCGTTTGGTGCGCTTTTTTCGCGATTGGCTTACAAACCGTGTTTACCTAAAATTTTATTTTGTTGCGTGCACTGCGGTTGTTCGTATAACGAGATTTTAACCAATGCAATTTCAATATGATAACAATATTTATCATGAAATCGACGAAACGTATTTTTTTCTCAACCGTTTCGCTTTATAGCTATTTTCATTGTTTTTATTTTATCCGTGTTTACGGATGATTTCTCCAACTGTGATCGATCGTCGTGTCGGATACAGCGTAGTCGTCCGCCGCCGATAACATTGATTAATCGGCGCAAAAAATATTATTATTTAAACTATAAAATAAATATTTAAATGTCGAATTAAAATATTTAAATCCCCGTTTGAGTTCAAACAACGGAGCGAAATTCGTATGTTTATTTTTAATTAGTTTTATAATGATGTATTTTAATTAATTCGTTAATAATGTATCAGTAATTCTTGAAATTATAAATTAGTTCGTTATCAAATTATATTTTATCGTTATAGAAAAATGAACGATCATTTTTTATTTTTAGACGACGCCAAGAAGTGAATATCAAAGAGTTTAAATTACTTTTTCGAGCATTTACAAGAAAATAAAAAAAGTTTTAATTAACATACCTTTCAATGGATGCTCGTGCTATATACGTCAAAATGTAAAATTATATACCTATTTTAAATAGCCAACTATAAAAGGTTAAAGAAAGAGTACTTTTTAACGTTTAATGGAATTATCAAAAATCAATACACATTCAACGGTTTTTAATTTAATTAATTTACAAGTATATTGAACATAGGTATTACAGCTTAAAGTTAACATTGAAACCATATACGAAACACAATACAAAAATGATATGATGATTCTATATCAAGTACCTATTTGTACATAAAATATGCCTAATAAGAAAAAAATTATAATTTTTTTAAGACTAAAATGTAAAGCAAAGTAGGAACAAACATAATAATACTATTCAAAATGTGTCTATTAAACAGACATTTACACGTAATTTTTAAGACGGTTTTAGCATCCTACCTCGTAACACAATAATAGGCTATTTTAAATTAATTATTTAATATTAAAAGTACCTATATTTTAACATCAACTAACAACTGTGAAACTTAAAAGGATGTTTTCAAGCCTTTATCATAATTACGGGTAGTTAATTTGAATATTTCACTTCATAGCTGTCAATCTCTTTACTAGCATAATAAAATATTAGGTCAAGATTAATTAAACATACTATATTTTTGAAATTATATTTACTCAATACAATAGAAACTTATTATTTTTCAATAAACATTTATATTACATAATTCCAGGATTCCGTGCATTTCTAACTTAAGTGAACACAATCACTGTTGTCTGCAAAATTGAAGACATTGAAGCACTAAAAATTAATTAATTGTTTATCTTACTATTGTTTATTTTAAAAATGTATAATATAATATATTTGTATATTATGATGTTTAATAATATTATGTAGTGGCCTTCAAGTCAAAGGTATAGTAACGGAATTCCGTATTATTCACCAAATGGCGAGTATACGTCCCACTCAACCATCACTCATCTCAGTAGTCCTTCACATCAACATTTACACTTGCCTCACAATATTACAGCAATCAATAATTCTATAATAATTATAGGGACTTAATAGAAGTAACAACTAACAAATAACTAAAACAAGATGTAGGCACAGTTTTCTAAATTAAAGTTATCCACTCTTCCGGTAGGTATGACTTATGAGTTATTTTATTGTAGGTATAGTACATAAACACAAGCATAATATCTGTGATCTGTAATATGTATTTTATAATTGGGTACAATAAATTTTTTTCATAAAAAACAACGACAAATTAAATCAATTATTAATAACGTCAATATTGAAATTATATTAATAAGTTATTATAGAATTACCTGTAAAAATATAAATTAAAAATGTTTATACATATAACTTTACAATGCTCATACACTAAATGCCTTTATTATTATTAAGAAACTGTTCATCGTTACTTGTAACTATTTAGCAACGATCGATCAATAGCAATACACATTATATTTTAGTTACTACCTCAAGGCTTATAGTCATAGCAGAAAAATAAAAATGTTATCCATCACCCCAATTTATAATATGTGATACGCAATCAGTTTTTATACGAATAGTTTGTTTTAATAAATGCCCGTATACATAATATACAATTTAATAGTAAAGTAGACGAAATCCTAAAATTAAATTTTGATTGACTCAATAAATTATTTTTTTTTTTATTGACGATTAATATTATATATTATATTAACTAGAGTTATTACTTATTATACTTAGTGCAAACGAATCACTCGTAAACCACCTGTGTATCTTTAGGCTGTGTAATGCTTAAAAACGTGAATCTTCTTCTTGACAAATAGTTAAAAACATGTAAACGATGTAAATCCTAAAGACGCATCCCATTTGTAATCGTGGCAATAGGTGGTAATTCATAGTATTATATATTTAAAAGCGATGATATGACACATCGTCGATATGTAATTGATGTATAGTCGGATACTTTAACGCATTATCATCGAGAACAGACTCTATTTTTTATCTCCGACGGCAGGCGACAGACTTTATATCAAATTACTGTCAAAATATGACAACCATTTTGTTCACTTATATACAAATTACTATATAATATATTATTTATTGATCAGAAAAATAAAAACCTATACCTAAGAGACGTAATTTATCAAACCTCACGAAGTACGGCATGACGTCGGCGTCCAAGAGATCGCTACCAAAACGACCAGGACGACGACAATTTACGAGGAAAAGATGTAATTATTGTTTCGGAATTAGTTTCGTTTAGTTTATATATATATATATATAATACAGTAGTAGGTGGGGGGGGGGGGGGTAATGATGAAAAAAAACGGTCGCCATTATTCTTACTTAACGGAGATTTCGAAACGGGGGCAGACAAAAAAAAACCAAAGGACGGGGATGAATAAAAAGGGTCCGATATATACGTATAACTGTAGATATAAATATATATATAAACGTCGGGAGATTGGAGTGAGGGTGTGAGTAGTGGATCGACGAGGAAAAAAATACACCCGGAGACGTTGGCCGGCGGTGGCGGCGGCGTCTGTCGGGGGTGGTGGCGAACCGGCCGAAGAGAAGATTAAATTTTTACCGACCCACCTTCTTTTCGTTTACTGTCGGGCGGGGGCTGGGGATTTGAATTGTGAGGAGGGTTCCATTAAAACAGAAACCACCCCCACCCGCAAGTCCGCCGCCCAGCATCCCCTCAGCCCGCCGGGGCTATTGGTCTTGACGAGCAGTGGTGGCGGCTATACACAACACGACGACGATTCTGCCGCCGCCGCCGTTTTTCATATCGCAACTCCGTTTTTCTTTTTAACCCTCTCTACCCCGCCACTGTATTTCCTTAAAATCTTTCAATTTTATCGATTCGGCGGAAGGAAGTGTTGTCTTTTTCCCTTTTGACGTTGTCGTCGTCGCCGTTTTCCAGGGAGCTGAATTTTTCCACCTCCGTAGTTATTTTTATTTTTATTTTATACTACGTTCGTCGCCGGGAATTTTTTCATCCTCTGTCAGTTTTGACGAGCGCACATTATTGTCATCGTCCTCGTCTTTTTTATTCACTACAAGAAAAATATATTGCTTGCACGTCCCGTACGTGGATCTTGCAGTAGTTCCCCTCGCGTGCGTTATAAATGATACGAAAAACTTTCCATCCAGTCTCAAATCTA